ACGGAACATGTGCACGAACCTCATCGGTATTCGGAACTACTTCGGAAACGATGTTTTTTCGAATATTCCGCAGTTTAAGTTAGTGCTTTTTAGATACTTCTTTCACAGAAAAATTAAAAATGATTTTAACTCAAATTAAATGCATTATTATTATAGTATCCCAATTTTTTTCTCTTGAGCCGTGAGCCTAACACTTTGAGCCCAGAGCCCAACCAGGATTTCGGAATTGAGCCCGGCCATTTGACCAATGAGCCCTGAGCCCATATACCATGTTACGAGTCTGATATATATTATTTTGATTGGTCCTAGACTTGATGCGAAAGCGTTGTCTAGTATTGAATTGTAAATGTTGTAAATGTAAACAATACACAAAGAGAAATACAGACAATACACAGCAGACCAAATGAACAGGTGACCAAGTCTAAAACAGATGCATTTTTACTATGTTCCGAAACTTTGCATTACAGCATTTCCTGGCTTTTATTGGCAGTCGACTTCTATCTTCTCCACATTTCCCTTTGATCAAAACTAGAAACCCGTATCGCATCAATCAATAACCTATGTTGGTGTGGCAACCGCGTAGTCCCGGTGAGACGTGTTTGAGCTTCTTGTTTGGGTTTTGATTCAAAGAAACGCATGGTTGCTGTAGTGCTGTATAGTAATCTGTTTTATTCGTTGTTCTCCTATTTATTGATTTGATATGCACATTTACTAAGATAGTGCCAATGGGCTATACCTCTAGTCAGTAAATAGTAAGAAAAATGTAGTCAGGACAGTTCTCTACTCAAGACAAATAAATGAAAAACAAAGGTGTCGGTTTCTTTTGTTTTCAGTCTTTTCTTTGAGAGACGCAAAACAAAAGTGAAATCAGCCCAGTCAACCACGCAAGCCCACTTTATAGGTCCCAAGTGTAAAGAAGTTCCACTGTACTGGCTGTATGGGATATTTAAAGTGAAGTTTTGTTTTTTCCTTCAAATATAGCAACATGTGAAGTACAATTGGCTCGAAATTGGCACTGAGAGCAAAGTGCGAATTCTCCTGTTAAAGTTTCCCATCTACTTTTATCGTATTTATTATGGGCTAGCTTTTTCCAGCAGCGCCTTCCAACTTCGCAGCTTCATTGTGATCCCAATTCCTAATTTAAGATAGAAATTGTAATCCAAAACACTGGAAAAAATCGCGCACTTTACAGGTTGTAAATTTGACTGTAAAGTAAGTGTCCAAAATGATGTAAGAAGAAGAATATCGTTTATTGAATAAAAACACTTCGGAGTCTTTACGACTGAGATTATATTGAAACTGTTTTTCAAACGATTGGTTTTTGCATGTAGATGTATTAAACAATCGTGGCCGTCTAAAATTCCTGGAGTGAGTAATTCTCGATGGTAATTATAGCTATGTAACCTCTGTTCAGAGTTATTAAATAATGTTCTTGGACATTTGATGTAATGATTTACATCAAATTTACATCATTTTGGGCACTTACATTGTATTTACATCAAATTCGACAACCTTTTAGTAAAGTGATATTTTTTAGTTTTGCCTTGTTGGAAAGCGACCTGTCCTTGTTGAGTCCGCGTGAGCCTGGAAAAATACAGTGGACTACCTGTGCTTTCGTGTGTGGCAGGCGTTCCTTGCATTCGTTGAACCTCCACAATCGGATAGCTCATAAAATGGCAGAATTTGCCCTGAAAGGTTTAGCAATAGCCAGCAAACTTATAGAAAGCAGAATACGTGAACAAGTTCTTTTTGATTTGAAGGAAACTGATGTTGTCGGGCAGCATTTCAGAGAGTTTTTCATTAAACAGCTCGAAGAAATAAAAGAGAAGCTTGATGGTTTGGCCAGAGTTGATCTATTGGCAAGTTTAAATTTTTTTAAAGATGGGATTACTTTACTCAACGGACACTTAGATAAAGTTACCATTCAAGATTCTTCAAGGGACCATGAAGATACCGAATCTTTCTCCTCAAATCTAGCTAAAGGTCTGGCAGCCCTTGGATTTACCACAACGATGACAGGACCTGATGATGCTCAGATAGTAGGACCAGATCAAACCGATAGTTCATTTATTGTTGAAGCGAAAGAGAAATTCGACAAGGCTATTGAATGTGCTGTAAAAGCCATAAGTAACGATACATTAAAGTTGAACGATCGAATTTTTGCAGCTAGACTACGCATGATTGGAACCATTCTCAAGCATATCGATGACAACTCAATATCCTTGACCTTATGTAAAAGCTACATCAGACAGCTAAACTCAATCCCTGAAGTGTTAAATAATGTGAGAGTGCATTTTAATAAGGGAGTAGGAGCAGCAATGAGAAAGACACTGTATGCTGATGAGAGAAATGAGTTAGTTTGGTCTGTGATCTCTATCAACAGAGTGTTATGGAATTATGCTCATCTGTGTAATGTCGACAGTTCTTACTACACCGACTGGCCACTTCTTGACATTACTGATGCAGGAAAAATTCACCCCGTTCTTGATGCAGCTGTTCGAGAGATGTATAGTTGGCTGCTTGAAGATAATTTGTCTTGTCCTGAAGGTATTGCAGTAGCTCCCAATGGGTGTTTTGTTGTTGCAGACACCTTAAATGAATGTGTCAAAGTGTTCAGCTCTGGAGGCTTTTATATGTTTGCTTGTAAGTTTCCTAAGCCAGAAATTCAAGATGCAGAAAAGGAGAAGGCAAATAAGTCTCCTCAATCTGATGGTTCCTCTTTATCTGTGGAAACTGATAACAGTACAAACAATCCCATCAGCTTCAAGCCAAGATGTGTCACGGTGACTGATGAATTCACCATTTTTGCAGGATCTAGCCGGGGAAGAAGGGAAGATCATTCCATGCAAGCTGAAGTATACATTTTCAACAGTGATGGAGATTTTGTCAAATCCTTTGGTAAAGAGGTTTTTAGTGTTGATTCTGTTCTTACTAGCATGGCGATAGATTCCAGTTATGGCCGTCTACTTATAAGTGACGACCATGCTCACTGTATCCATACCTTCAACCTCAATGGGGAGTACCTGTCAAAGCTATGTGACTGGGAATATCATGAAGGCTATTCACACATAGCTGTCAATCAAAATGGACACATTCTGATTACACATTGGGATCATGTTCGAATCTATGATAGTGAGGGAAAATTTGCTTCCAAGTTCAAAACAGAATATGGAATACCATTAGGTGGGATAGCATATGATAGTGCTAGACAACAAGTCTATGTGCTTTGTAAAGCATATAAACATATTGACAAGAATTCCAAGCCAAATTTACAAGTTTGTGATAAAGAGTGGGAGCCTCAGGGTATGATTAAACTACCAAAGTCCTACAGGTCATCCAAAGGCATTGCTGTCACACCAACTGGTTTTGTTGCTGTTGTAAATGTGGACAAAAATGAAGTAATAGTAATATGAATTGTAATACTGTACATTTATCCAAAGTAATTGGTAGGTTATTAATTTCCTTTACATAATTATATAACTGATATAAATGAAAAAAAAGAAGCTCATTCTATGCTTAGCAAACAAAGTCACTACCATGTGAGGAAAAAAACTTTGTGGTGAGAAAGTTAAAGAGTGCTTATTCCCTGAAAGTATCAGAATGATATATGGGCAACATAACTAAATTAGTTCAGTGCACAGTATAGTGTGTAAGAACTTGCTGCTAGTATGAGCAGTTCATAACAAAAGAATTTTAAAATAGGAATAAAGAGAAACACCGGACCTTTTAAACTTGTGGGGAAGCGAACCTCCCCAGCCTAAAGGCCTGACATGGTTATTTGCTTTAGTGTATATGCTCATAAATTGACAGTTATGATTTTTTTTACCTTCTGGAAAGTATATTTTATTTTAATTATTTCCTTATAGTTTAATTAAATTTTACTGAAAAGTTGAGTAAAATAATGTATTCATAAAATTTTAAAAAACGTATGTAAAAATATAGTAGAAATAGAAATAATGATAATAATAATAATGGAAACTTTATTTGTTTATAGATTTATACAGTTGAAAATCTCACTACCTATAGGCAATTTACAACTGGCTACTTGAATTGATAAAAATATATATACATATATGAATTTACAAATACTGAAATCAATCTAAAACAAACAAACAGATGAAAAAAATGTTGGTATTTCAATAATTCAGGGCTATCCCATGTCTTATTTCTACAACAAAAAATATAGTAGGTTGTTCTAATTAACAAATGAGAAAAATTCCCAATCACAAAATCAAAAATCTAACCATATACACATCGATGTTAATTGATACAATAGAATACCGTTTTTAATCATCTCAATATATAATGTTTAAAACACATAAAACAATCAAATCCTAAATCCAGTTGGGGTTTAAAATGGTGTTGTTTTTTCATTGAAGACAGTAATTTTACATTCACTCTTCAGGCTTAAATCAAGAATAATTTAGTACTATTATTGATCTACTTTGTTTATAATAGTTAACATTTTGTATTTAGTATTATTATTGGGGTACAATACACTTTATGCATACTCTGTCAGCTGCTGCTTGTTGCCCTTCTCCTTTAATGGTTGACAAATGTGAGGAGTGATTCAATCAAAAAATACACTTGAAACGAATTCAACAAGTTTATTTCTTTACAGTAAAGGAAACACCAGGTGCATAAAGGTATTTTTACAGCTATGTTGGTAGAATATTGTTTTAGTAGATTAAAGTGAAAATCGTTTTTTAATGGTTTAATTTCTGAGCATTCCTGTAAGAGTTTGTATATATTATTATATTTATATGCTTCTTATTTTTTTCCGCTTTGAATTACTACAACAATCAGGAATATGTTTTACCAACATATTAGACTGGAAGTGGTAGCCAAAAATGACGCCATCCACATTGCAAACACCCTGTTTTGAGGCATTTTAGGCTCATTTTGGCTTAAAATACTAGTCACGCCCCTTTTCCTGTTCAGTGCGTTTTGAAATCCCACGCGGGTTTTTTTTGATGAACTGTTTTGATAACTTGAAGGATGCGATGATACATGGCGTCACACTGCATTCTGTGATAACTTCATTAGCTGCGATTGTTTGGCCTAATCTCGAAACGGAATTCAAAGACGGACAAGACAAATACTCAGAAAATTCTAAATTATACTATCCTATTCATCTGTATCTGCTTGCAATATACTCGACAAGAAATAACATTTACTGTCTCAGGTTGAACTTAATTATGTCTCATATCTCTATGAAGTGCATAATAGTAAGATTATCTACTATTATCAAATATTTGAGGAAAATATTCGAACGACGTTCAGTGTTCACTTACCAAAGCATTGGGAAAACGGCAGATGTTTTCTTTTAAGTGACAAATTAAAAAAGAGTTAAAGTAAATTGGTTAACGATTCACAGTGGTTACTCAAAGTCTTTGGTACATGTATATAACTCCTTCAAACTCTCACCTTCGCTTGTTTTGGCGAGTCTTCTCTTTGCCTTGTTCAAAGTCTTGTTCCGCTAAGGTGTTGCTCTTCTTCTTGACCATTTAAAGGAAGACTTTGAGGCAAAAGTTCTAGAGGAATCTCGGACGGTGATTCTTCACGTCCTTTGTGGCAAGGAAATCTCCACGGCTTACAAGGCATTGATAAAGGCTTGCACTTCTTCAACACTGTCAGAGCTTCTTTGCGGAACTTTCTATCCAAGATCGCATAGATGATTGGGTTGGCAGAGTGAGGGAGAAGATAGAGGGCTGCACAAACTGAGAATAGCCAGTGGTTCTTGTCAATAACACCCAGCCAGTGGTCACTCCAAAACACCCTGTAAAGGTGCAGGACATAGATAGGCAGGTTGCATATTCCAAACACACAAACAACCACGATCAAGACATAAACGGCTTTCTGGACTTGCCTTGCAAAGCGGCGTTTTGGGGCGCTATGTTTGATTGCCGATCGTAACATGACGCTGATCTTCACATACAACACGGAAATAATCATTAATGGAAGAAGGTAGAACAGAACAAAGTCGACTGGATGAAGCACTCGTTCGTACATGGGGTCAGGCCATACCAGCTCACATACATATTCCACATCTGCATGGAACTCTTCGACATCTATCTTAACAAGCTGAAGGTTTATCATCTGAGGGATAGAGAGAGCCAGCGATACGATCCATACACTGATTAAACCCATGATGATTTTTGGTTTGGACACTCGGAAGTCAAATGCTACCAAGTATCGTTCTATGGCAACACCTACTAACGTTCCTAGCGATGCATATAGACAGATATGAGTGGAACTAAAGACGAACTTACACAGAACCTCACCGAATGGCCAGATAAGTCCTAACATCTCATAGGCAACGTAGAAGGGAACATAAACGAGTAAAATACCCAAGTCTGCCGCGGCGAGACTGATGATAAGTGAGTTGGAGGACATTTTGAATGGCGAGTCGCTTTGACATTTTGAAAATATGATCAGGATAATTATGTTGCCTAGACGAATCAAAATGATGGCATACAGTCGTAGATTTGTTAAAGTTCGACTTAATTCATTCAAACAATGCATTTTATTTTACCTGGAACACCAATGGAAAGCAGAAAGCAGAATATTATAACTTGAACTGTCAAGGCGCTTTCTGTGAGCGTTGCTGATTCATAGAAGGTACTGTTGTCTCTATCATCTAGGTAGAGGTCTTCAGGTACATCATCCATGGTCGTCTATCATCTAGGTAGAGGTCTTCAGGTACATCATCCATGGTCGTGAACGATGACTGATTGCGTTTTTGTGTTCAAGCAATGCCCAGGTGCATTAGTGACAACCAGATTTAATCAAAGTTTTTACAATGGAGGGGCTTCATCCCATGTTCAATTAACCCTAGAAAACAATATCTTGCTTCCATTGTATCCATCGTGTTTTAAAATCGATTTTTAGCCAGGATACGAATGTCATTAAGTTTTTGTTTCCCCATTTTTAATGCAGCACTTCTTTAATTATGCACAGGAAATATTGTGAACACTCAGTTTTGTCTCGAAATTAATGCGTAAATATATAATTATTATTTGTAGGATCTGTGTATTTTATTGGCTATTATGTATGCCGAGTATCTTGACAACAGTTTCCATATATATATATATATATATGGAAACCAAGTTGCAAGTTATGTGGCTTTTTCTTCAATTCATTCTAATCATATTTAGTGGACAATAGGAGAGAAAATCTCAGAGAATCTACCAATCAACCAATCCATCACTTTGTTTGCTCGCGTCCACATCGTACCTTTCCCTGTCACGAGTGGTGCTTCCATTAAAAGAGGATAAAATGTTATAAAAGATATTGATAAAAAAGCCTCCAGTTTCGGTTAAAATGCTACTTGCATGAAAATGGCCTTATTTCAAAACTTCAAGCAATACAAATATATGACTCTCATATATTTATTAAAAACAATTGCGGGAAAATATTTGTTTTGGAATTGTCCCTCAACAGAGAAATTTTGATTCAAAAGATGGAAGAACAAAAGGATGGAGTAAATGACGTCATCTACTCTAACATGTTTTGTCCAAATTATGAAGGATTTGTATCAATATCTTCTTAAAATCTGTTGCTTCATGATTATTGGACCCATATGGATAGTTCTATTTGATCTCCAAGTCTTTTTTAATGTTTCGCAATTTTCGTCCAAGTAGCCCTTTAAAGGATATTATAAAATTATAGGAATCCTTGACGCTCGGTTTTGTCTTGATAATTTCTCTGCGAATAAAGGAGTTTTTCCATTTCCTCTCCTTACAGGATATTCTACAGACTTGTCCCAAACCAAGACTATAGTAGCAATAAAATTCAATTATCGAAGGAAATTTTTTTTTTGGTTCCCGGTCCGTGTCGGACTTTGGAAGTAGTTTCACCCTTCAGGGCGTATATAACACATTTAAGTGCTGATGAAATATTTACACATCAAAATCGATATAAAATAGATGGCTGATTATCGAAAACTATGGTTTAAAACAATTGTGCGTCGCTGCTCATAAAACTGATTATGCAAACCAAGTGTTCTTTTGATTTTATTTGATTAACAACGAAAAACGCTAATCTCTCCTGATAACTATGTGACAATAACCGACCAATGACGCTCAACTATCACACGCCATTTGAATTGTTTGACTCTGTTTACAATCCATTGACCCTTCACCAAAGAAACAGGTTTCTATACTCCAGTTAATGAAGACAATGTATTCAATCCATAAGTCCTTTTGTCAAGAGCTACTCATCCATAAGACCCTTCAGTTTACAACAGTTATGCCATAGCAACACCAGGAAATTCAAGCGCGAGGACTTTATTTAAATCAAGCAAGATATAATACAGTTTGGGCAGCTAAAATAAGCATTTGCTTACTTAGAAGAAAGCTCATCCAAAAACTTTGATTGATAAGTATCTTAGCAGAATGAAGGATGTGTCTACTCCAGGTATGCATGGTCTCGTGTTTTTTTTAGATTGTGTTTAGTGTGTGATTAGTTGATGAAATTACATTTAGAATGAACTCTAGACATGATGGCGTCTTTGCTGTTTTTATAATAAGTGTCCTCTACTCTAAACGAAATTTGAGTAACATTACTACTACGGAGGCTACACTACCGTTAACTCATGCACCGATTGTGCATCTTAGATATCTCCTTTCAGGGATATTAAGAAAATAGATTCCATTTTCCGTGCGGCTTTAGTTTATGACAAAATATGATCATTTGTGGCGTTATAATTTTTAATCAATCAATCAATCAATCAGTTTATTTCACATATATATAAATACAATTTCAAAGTTATTATAAATTTTCATTAAATATCTATATGTGTGGAGAGCTTATGAAACCCTTACGGGCTTATGTAAAAAGCTCACCATAAAAAGAAA